CGGAAGATGAATTCTTGTCACCTGTGATATATAATAAAGTGTCTTCTAAATCAATGAAAAAGCTGGTATCTTATTTATTATATAATTGGTGTTTATAAGGTATGATTGTATATAAACCATTTAAAAAAGAGTAGTTGAATTCATAAATACACATCGATTTGGATGTATGAAGAACCTTGTCTTTCATTGATGCAGGTAAAACACATCTAGTTGTACAATTTAACCATAGAGTAGCTGCTGAGACTATTTTAACCTGTAATTAAAAATTTCAGCAATATAGTAAATTTTGTAGAAAAATGTTTTAGAAACAATTTTTTCTCTCTGAAAATGGTGGTAGAAACTGGTATGTTCATTTATGTTACTGATTTCTTCTCAATGGAATTTTTGGATATCTACTTTTTAGTAAAAGACTAGTCTTCAGTTAACAAACTGATACAACTTTCGAAGATAGAAACCAAATTCATAAATAATTCGATGTCCTAAAAATCAAATCCCTGCAAAATATCTACACCTACTTACTTCAGTTTCAACAGATAAGGTGAAAGCTGAAATACAATGCACCAGAAAACTCTGTCTAAAAGAAGTAGTTCATAGAATAGTTAGAAAGTCGCACAGAATTCGTAGCTAAATTGAAGAACTAAAATCAAACAGTTAATGAAAACGATTATGAATTCCTGGTTGATAACTTCAACAAAGCAAGATCAACTGCCCTCATAAAATTCAAGAATAATCAAATGAAGAAGTTCAACAAGCAAATGGAATCAAAGTATCCAGTACAGAATGATGAAATTTCCGGCAGTATATCGTCAATCAATGACAAAACAAAGTGGATTGTGAATCTCTCAACTAAAGCTTTCAGGTAAAGGTACTGGAGAAGGGAGTTAACTTCAATGTTATCTGTTAGTCAATTGAAATTTGAAGATGTCATTCCTAAAAGTGAAATAGCATTAAGTTCAGTAGATAAGGCAATAAGAGATGAGGTTCTCAGTCTATGTCACCATTCACAGATTGTATTTTTTGAACGCATTATCTTCGATCTATCTGTAAATCATCTCATGAAATTTATTTTCTGTCATGAGAGGACAAAACAATGAAGATCTGTGTCTTGTATTCTATTAGATGGATTTAATATATTACTTTTAATAGTTACATTATTGTCAGACCTGGTAACAAGGATATCTAAGTAGGGGATTTTATTTAGATGTTCAACTTTATGTGAAAAATTAATTATTAAGAACAATTTTCCAAACTTCTTGACTACCTAACCTAAACATTCTTTTTACACATAATAAAAGTATTGTTGACATATTGGTAGTATTTATTAAAGTAGCAAATTTGCATCATAAAACGGTTATTTATCAACTTTTACATAAATGAATCAGTCAGAATAGGTGTAAGTGAGAAGTCTATTGCTACCTCATCCACTTTCTTATACAAACTATTTCTGAACATCAACTTAACATTCATCGTTCAATGCAGTGTAAGTCCTTTCAAGTCATTGAATGGTAGGTAAGTATTCATTTCATAATCCATGATAATATTGCATTTATAATCTACTGTTTCCGATAGCTAGACTTTGGTATTTAACCTATCTATATCAAAGGACAGCATCATTACATTCTGTTTGATTTGGTTTTTAATTAAATCAATAAATTTGAGCACATCCTTCAAACTATATTTACAAGCTGTTCTCTTCACTAGTTCCAGGAATTTCGTAAGTCACTTTATCATGACATGGGTTGGTAAATTCTGTGTATCTTTCTTCTTGTTGTTAAAATTAGGAGGTTTAAGGATTAAGTCTGAGAGACTGATAAATAGTAGGTATTCACTCGTTGATTAAATAGGTATATTACGTTTAATGAAAAAGTGAATTTTCCATTGGACTGAGATAAATAAACCAATTCTTGCAGTATAACGTTATACTTGCTAAAGTGGCTGCTTTCTTGAATTTCATTGATGTTATTCAGTATCCTAATGGTTATTCTGGCTTTCTAGGTCTTCTGCAGTTTCCAAGGTTGACCAATCGTCAACGCCCATAAAGACGGATTCTGACTAAGCGTGTATGCATGAAAACGATGCACATATCAGCCAATGTACTCCTACTAACAAAGAAGGCTTCAAAGTTCCGGGTATCTACCCATACCTTCGTTGTGGAGATGGCATCGGGTGCCTGAATTATCCCGCTAAGGCCAGCCGTATCTCCTAGTTATCACTCAAATGGTGTCAACTCTCCTCCCACCATGATTAGAAGTTGGCATCCTGGGTGGTTAGCAGGCAGTTGACAAGGTTCGTGAGTCAATCAGAAACTCCCTCCGGAGACTCACCCCTCAGCGAGCAGGGAATGATGTGGGCTTAGTCACTTCTCGGGTTAAATAACTGCTGCTGGTGTGGTCAGCAATGTTCTAGCAGCTACCGAAGATCACCTCGCTGGTAAAGATTTCGGGCAAATCGCACTGTCACTACTGAAGGGATTGGGTCTGAAGAAAACAAACTCAATTAAATGAAACGTTATTGGACTGGAAAGTGGTATGATAAGAAGGCAGCCAATAAATGACCATCTTGACAACCTAATGACACCGATTTTATAATGTGGAAAAGCAGACAGATAATTAAAAGCTTCTTTTAACATAATCTTTAGCCAAACAATTATCCCAGTATACATTTTTCGTCCAACTAGAGAGGTATGTTCGCAGTTGTTTTAGTGAAATAACTACTCATAAATGCTGATAATGACGTTGATGTTTGTTCGTTATTCCTAGAATTTTGATAGTTAATTGTGAACATTTTTTTAAGAGCTGGACACCGAAGACCGTTTATTTTCATCCTCAGAAACCAGTAAAGCTATAGAAGAAAAAACTTATTTTGGCGTTCAACGAAATATGTGCTATAATTCTACATTTATAAGTAGGTAGTTAATGTAAAGAATCATTCTGCCTCTATTCACTGAACTTCAACTTCAAAGTATACTACAATTCAGACACTTCACTGGCAACACTTCTAGAACGAAGACTTTCGAGATAACCAGTTTTCTTTCACGCAAAGCGAATCAATTCCTTTCAAGTTACATATACGCTATAGTGTTAAGTGTGATACTTGCGTAAAACGCAACAATTCATAGACTACCTTTAAGGTAGTAAAATATTTCACGACTTAGCACAACATTACATTGCTGAGGTTAATGATGGAATTCTTCAATCAATATGCACGATTGTATTTGAAGATCTTCTTGGAAAACAAGGTTAAGTACATTTTTTCCAAAAACAGATTATTATTTGATGATATTTTCGCACTATTTTCACACTGCTTATATGTTATACGACTGAATGACTGTCTTTTCTGTTTACTTGCATTTAGGTTTGTAAAAGTATTACAATATTTTATACATATGTATATATGTGTATGAAGGCAACAATTTTTCAAGATTAAGTTTTTTTTACATCATGATTTTCCCGCATTTCTGTTCAAATAAAATATAAAGCTTTCAATGTAACTTGTGACCTTTTAAAATGTTTTGTTTAACCTTGTTCTCTTAAAACATGTCTTATCTTGAGGTCATTAATGTACAGCAATGAATATCTAACCGCTGATGATGAAATAAAAGAATACTTTTTAAAAGCAAAAATATTGTTTAAAGTTAACTTAATTACAATAAAAAACACTAATGTCAAGTCAGTGCTTCTATGTGATAGTCGAGAGACTTGATGCGTTACAAAAAGCATTTCCAATAAACAACAGACAGAGATGAACAGCTGCCACCTAAGCTCACTCGATACTAAAGATCAGATGGATGGTCAGAATGATAAGAATAAGTAACAAGAAACTCTGGTCTGACAATAAACCAACCAAGAATCCATTGCCCAACAAATTTGCAGAAGGAAGTAGATATGGAGTGGATTGGACATTGAGAAAACCGTTTCGGGACATCATGCAACAAGACAGGCCCTCGAGTAGACGAGTTGGACGTCCGAGTATGGGTAGCATAGAGGAGATTGTGTGAGGAAGAAATAAAAGTTTATGAGGAATCATTGAGTCAGGTTGAAAAGACTGAAGAGAAGAGAGTGAAATGGCGAGGTGTTACTGAAGCCCGTATGTTCCACCGGGAACCAAAGGGACAAATAATAATGATGAAATGAAACAAAAATATTTTATGACACTTAAACTACTGATCTATCCGCCTTTGTAAGTGACTTATTTTATTTAAAAGTAACAGATAGAGCTAAGTGTTCAGCACTGATCTAAGTCAACGCATCAAATGTGATACTGATCAGTTTTCGTATGGCTACTGAAAGTTACTTTCATGTTAGAGATTTCGATAAAATGATATTTTAAACATCGAATATGATACGAAGAGGATATGCTATAAGTTGTCTTCCTAGAAACCTAAACAACCCGATTTCAATGACCAACTGAGGTAAAAAGTCCTAATTCTTCAGCACTAATCAAACTTTTACCATCAAGTATGCAGTGTAATTTACTCAGGTAAATTATAAGACACTGAGCTGTATTGTATCACGTTAAATTTCCTTGTTAACTAGAGCTATTTATTTACAAAAAATATCAGTCAGGTTTGTAATTCAACACAACAGTGATACACAGATCTTAACGTTTCTGGTGAGCTATACATAAAGTCTAGGAGGCTGGCTTAATATCTCCTAAGAGGGATATTATACAATCCGCACTCATAACCTTCTTATTTAAATATCCTTTCTCTACTAAGTGAGGTAAAGATGAGCTTTTAATTTCATGATTAAAGAAAAGTAAATGATAATCTGAACCAAAAAATAAATAAATGAGGAGGCTAAATTCTTGTTATCAATTTATAAGTCATTATTACTTAGAGTAATTTGTTTATTTATGCATAAGACATTTATTTGAAATGATCACTTCAGTTTGTTATAATTAGGATGACATTTTTATTCATTCACGAGACAAGACAATATCAGTTGATAAAGCTGGGCATATACACCATGATTAATCAATAATCGTAATTTGAAAGGAGTTTATAATACACTTAGCTATATAGTGTGTTGGTTGAACAGATTATTATATAGATAATCTTATCAGTCTCTAGGTAAGTTTATTGATGATGACTTATATAAGTTTCTTGATAAGGCTTTTAGTCACCGTGTTACTATCGTATAGAATTTTAATTAATCTGAAGGTGATACGATCAAAATGTAGAATCAATTCATAATATTCTTAAGTGTTGGTCAAATTTAACATATAGCTCATCAGATGTATGTGAATTTATGGTAAGAGAATATGAATGATACAGCTTAAAAGTGATATCAATCACTTATTAACTTCCTTAAAGAGTATATACTCCTATAGATTGACTAATTTTTGTTGGGGGTTTGTAGGGAATTATTGATTTCAAGTTGGTATTCATCATGGACTGACATTAGTTAGAAAAGCATTGGAAACCTGAGGGCAGTGGACAGATGTTTCTTCCTAGTATGGGACTCCTCAGCAGTGTGCACCCATGATCCCACTTAGCAGGGATCAAACCTAGGACTTTCATATTCGACAGCCAAGTTGAACATGAGGACTGTTAATCATGAACGTCATTAGATGGAGACCATTCTGTATCACGAACTGACAGAAATAGGAAATATGGACCAGTGCATTTTGACCCAGTGGCTCAATGGTAACCTGGCCTCGAAACCTGAAGGTGATGGGTTTGATTCTTGATGGGGTAGTGAGTGTGCACTGCTGAAGACGAAACAGATGTCCAGTGCTTTTAGGTTTTGTTTCATCTGTTGTTTACCTATCAAAAATCAATAGTGTTATAATAGAATTTGGACACTGTGGTAGAATGTAACTCCAGATTAGAATAGTCTATTTGACATAGCACAAAGTGATAGAGTATTGTTTACTAGATGATGTTTCGAGCAGAATTTATTGTTTATAATTGTAACTTTCCGTTCTGGCCTTTTACTGTTGTATTGTTTTTGATTCTTTCATTTAATTGGCAATGAGTGTTTTCTAGATATCCAGAATTGGTGTTGCCTTATTTCAGTTACTTTTGTTATGCGTTGACTTGATGAACAGAGATTTAATGATCAGCCTATCTCTCTCCACTGAACTACATTAGGTTTCAGAACTGTGACTCTGTACTACCGTATTGTATGGTATCGCATGCACAGCTACGGCTAATTGTCCTATAGATTACTCATTTTAGAAAGGTCTATTAATCTAGACTTAGCTCGATTCCTATGTTCTGTTGACCTGGTTGATTGCGTTCAGTTATTTTGATTTATGTACTTGACTTTAGTAAGTTACATGAGTCTATCCAGTTGGGTCAGTATAATCCTTAGGCCGACAAAACTTGTCTCTCAACGAGTTTGAAAGTTTGAATGCTTATCTAATCCCAACCTTGGTGAGAATCCTACGAAAGTTTCTGATAACCCTTCCATATCTCGCAACACTACAGAGACTTTGAATTCCTCCTCAATCGTGTTACAAGCGTCGTTCACATCACTACTTTATTTTCATGCATCGTCATTTATTTCATAGTAAATTTAAGCGGATAATTAAAAAAAGTAAACCTTCACTTGTGTGTCTCATTTCGTTATTTAAATTACTTTAGAGACTAGTAAATTACATAAAACGTTAACCAGACTTACTGATATAGGGTGAGATGATCTAAAGTTTAGATATCTGTTGGAATGCGATGCTTTTTGATCCGCCATCTTGTTTATAGTCCGACATATTCAGTTCTACTTGTTCGTTTTCTACCCAAAAATAAATTGTATCCCATCTAGTACCGAGTTTCATATCTGAAGAAGCTAGGGATTTGTTCTTCAGACACGTCCCTCATACTTTCGGTGTAGGATTATATTTTTTAAGTGTCATGCGTTCTTAGCTGTCTATAAAAATATCTCCCAAGACTAGGGAAATAAGTGATCCAATGACTATTCCTTCCGTTTGTTTAGATGCTTTATATTGAAATTTAATGTAGAGAAGAGAGGTGATGAAGATACCCAACCAACACCATCACCACCACCACCACCAACTTCCAATCAGCATGAATGGGAGAAATGTAATGTAAGTAGTCTCTCTGACCCACCTACCTAGGCAGGCAGGATCGTTTTAACTACAGGTGGCTGTGGCACAGACGAGGATGTCAAATCCAACCAGGATCGGAAAGACCGGAAGACAGGCGTTCATCAATCTGAAATCAGTGTGCATGGAGATCAACTGTACTCAGCATAAAACGGTGAACATCATCCGGATTTTCAACACCAATCCAGTCAAGTCAGTACGTCTATGTGATGGTTGAGGGACTTGTCGCGTTACGAAAAGCAGTTCCAACAAACTACAGATATTCATCAACAGCTGCTGCCTACTCTGGCTCGTTACTGAAGCTCAGATGGGCAGAAAGAATAAGCAACAAGGAACTCTGGCTGGCTGGCTGGCAATGAACCAACGAAGAACCTATCGCTCAACAAAAATGCACTGGAAGGAGGTGGAGATGTATTGAGCATACATTGAGAAGACTATTTTGGGATATCATACGTCAGGCCAGTTGCACGAGTGGAACCCAAATGGGAAGCGACGAGTTGGGCGTCCGAGTGCGACATGGAGGAGATCATGTGAGGAAGAAATGAGAGCTTGTGGGCTGTTGTGAAACCAGGTTGAAAAGATTGCAGAGAAGAGAGTGTAATGGAGACGTGTTACTTAAGCCCTATGCTCCACTAAGAAACCAAGCGGAAAAAAAATAATATTGAAATTTGAAAACTATAGAGGTGTGATATAACTGAACACTTAACATCATGCTTATGAATGAGTTCAGGAGTATTTTGAAGCTAATTTTTAACTATTTCTAGAGCTATACTGATAGTTACATGAGTATGTAGGCTTTTCAGATCAAAAGTAATCCTTTTTTTCCCTCCACTTCTAACTGAATATTATCTTACCTTTGCTTTATTTCATGTGAAATAGTTAGTCTAAATTTTGAGTGATTTCTAATAGGACATAATGCAAATTTTAAAGATTTAGATAGTTCATATGTAGGGGTGTAGCTAAAGTCAAATACCAATCTAACAGGATAACGTGGTTTATGAACCTTAATAGCATGATATATTCTACTATAGTTATTAGTTTGAAGCATTAAAGTAAACTATTTTAACTCATGCAGAAACCGCTTCATTGGACTTAGTATATCAACTCTGAAACCTCTTATTCATATTTATGAAAGTATCTATAGGTTTCTTGATCTCTTCATATGGAAACATTTGAATGAATTCATTAACTTTCCCGAAGTAATCCGACTTGTCAATAACTACCGTTGAATTATGGTTATGAGCTGTATATCAGTTATACCAAATAGACTGATCTAATAGGAAATCACAATAATCAGTAACTTAACATGGTATAATGAGAAGACGATGATTGTCTGAAGTATGTTTGTTGTATTAGAGTTATGCATTTCAAACACTGATCAAATATGGACTTTTTGATTTATTTACATGGAAATTTACCAAAAAGGTCAACTAAGACAATGTGAAGGGTAGAACAAAAAACAAAGCTCAAATAACATCACTTCTGGAATAAAAGAGTAGTAGTAGTAGTACCAAGGTAAGTTCACAGTGAGCACAAATCTTATATAATCTTTGTCTACTCAAGTAGCAGTCCAGTCGTTATTTTTTGATACTTGTAAATAATAATAATAATAACTGATACCCGTTGTCTAAGAGACAGCTTCCATGTCTTCTTGGTTTAGTGGATAACGTTTTGGCTTTTTGAAGTGATGGATACAAGGGTCAAGTTTCAGTGAAAACAACATCACCCACTGGGGTGCAGATTCATCCAGCCAAAGAATCCTAAATAGGACAAAACGTGCATCTTGAATTCCACTGTTAGCCGCAACCAAGTCACTTATATTAGTCTAATTGCTTTAGAAGTCAGTCGATTGTTGCATCCTTTTTCTTAGCCTTTGGAACAATTTCTTTCAATAATCTATAACTTATACAGTGTAAATTATGTTTTCCGACAGTTGGCAGGGTTTACTAAGATGAAAAAGTTGGAAAAAAAACAAGCGAAAACAATTTCTTTTACAATAGATGAAGCTATAAATTAAGAAGTAGACCAATATGGCTACATGACCAACAGGAATCTAAAGAAAATTCTATTGATTTTGTCTATTGTGTGCAATATACTACTTAATGTCTACAATCTGCAAAGTAGGCTTTAAATTTCTGAACTTTTTCAGTAGTTTGCAAAAAGTAGTATGGAGTTATCAGTCCATTTTTGAAGCAAATAAGAAAAAATCCGTCTATTTTTAATGAGATACCAATGAAATTATTATCATGATGAAAAGTGATCATTTTCTTGGTGGAATTTTGTGACTGCAATCTAAATTAGTGGAAGAAAATCCTTATAAATATCCCCAAGTGTTCAATCGATTGAGACTGTCGATAAGAAACTGTTTTTGACAGTTAAGTTTCATGCTTACTGAAACTCATCAACATCACTTGACTTTTTGATTACACTTGCTTGAAGTATTTTGACCTTGAATCATGATTATATGGTTATAAATTAGTTCTCACTTAGGGAAAATGATCTATTTATGTTTTTTTCAAAGTTATAAACTACTTTGTGGAATTCCTTTCTTTTTTGGAAAGTACCCTTAAATGGATAATAGTCCCCAGAAGATCTCGTGGATAATTTCAACATGTTACCTGCTTTATTCAACCTTAGGACTTTGATGACGCATTACTGTTCAGCAGACAGTACAAAAAAGACAGAAAAATATACTTGGAACTCAAACTTTAAATGTTAGTTGGCTGAAGGGTTTATGCATTTTGGTGCTCTACTGCAAAGAATATCTGTAATCTCAAAGTCAAGGACTTTCTTCTAACAGCCTCCATCCAACTAATATCTATTTCAGGACATCATGATAGTGAGTCTCCTAGCCAGGTGGGAGAATGGATGACAGAATTCGGTTACCAAACATGAATAGACAGTAGTAAATTAAACTTTGCACATATTGAAACTGTGATAGTTGTAATCTGTCTGGACAGTAAACTTAGAAGAAACCAATGGTGGAAGTATAAACCATAAGATAAT